CACACACACCCACACCCACACCCACACACACACATATTAAAAATAACCGGGGGTTTAAAGGGTCAGAGTGGCGTTCCCCGAACTCAGGCTCTTATTCTGTAAACACTGTTAGCGTCATACAGAAATCTACATTTGGACGCAATTTTGGGTTATTTAGCTTCCTTGCTAATGCTAATGCTAATGCTTATCATTTACGTTTCTCAAAAAGCTATGAAGCTCTCGAACCCATGAAAGCAACAACAAAACATACGTACACACTGATTGGTAGAAACCAACATTTTAACAATGCTACATTTAGTCAGTTTGATGCTAAAGCTTTCCCGATGTTTGGTTAGACAACCAATACTTCATTTTAAAAAAACAAAAATGGCTAACGTTTATCACCTTGCAACAACAAAACCTAACCAAGTTAATGTTAATTTTTGCATATAGAGGGATAAGTGTAAAATATATGTTGTGCCAGTAACAATAAGGCTCTCAACCGAAAACCGCTAACAACTAAAAGTATGTGCACTGTTAGCTTCGCTCTGATTGGTTGAAACCAACGTTTTAACGTATTTAAAAGCTAAAGTCAACTCCCAAAAAATAACAAAGTTTGTAAACCATAACAATTACCAGGAAGCTAATGGCTAAAAACAGCTAACGTTAATCACCAAACGTCAATAAAATATTCCTATTTTTCCAGCTAAACCAGCTGTGTGTTTCCTGCAGACTCGTGGACCGGATGTCGGGATGGGCGTGGAGGCGTGTCCTCACAAGCTGAGCTCGACCAATCAGCTGCGACTCCTCCTCTTCATCCTGATCCCCACCATCAGCCTGCTGGCTGGCCTGCTGCTCGTCCTCGCACTCACAGGTACAGAAACACTGATATATTAGCGTTTTTCAGAGCCTTCACGGGTACGTTTTTTTAAAGGTCTCCTATTATACTATTTTCAGGCATATATTATAGGTCTCGGATGTATAAAAAACATGTCTGTGTTGTGGTTTGCTCAAAATACCAAGCAGATCATGCATTTTAGACATCCCTCATATCCCTCTATTGGCGCATTTCCACTACACGGCCTCGCTCGGCCTCACTCGGTATGCTAGGCCTCGTTAGGACTGGCTCACTTTATGGCGCATTTCCATTACAGTTGAGGAACTGGGGTAGTATCTATAGTAACGCAGTGTAGGCGGAGCCGTGACGTCATCTTGAATGAGAGCCCCAGAAAAACAACATCAGCCGTTAGCTGTTAGCACTCAGAGCTCACAGCTCCTCATATCTGTTCAGAAACTAGACAGAAGTTAAACAAGTACAAACCACAGACTGTCTGTGTCATGGCGAATACAGTCGCTGGTTTGTTTCTGTCTGTAGGCCGTTGTTGTGAGTGTGGACGGTCGGAGCATATACTGCGTTAGCTTAGCTAATCTCCATTCAGAAAACACGCATTTTAAAAATGTCTGTCTGCAGACTTGTCAAAGCATTAATTCATGGTTTTTACTAACCGGTATCAGTATGTTGTTACTTCGGCATCATTTAGAAACGTGTATTACAATTAAATCACGGTCAAATATGTTCATCTTGTTGTAGTTGTAGCCCCCTTGACAGCGATTCTCTCTCTAGTTTAGCATACTCAGCCCAACTCAGTCTGGTTGTTGGCCCGGAAAGAACCTCGATATTATGGGTCCCGAAAACTGTGAAATCGTACCCGCAAGCCGGTACTATGCTAAGTGGAAACGCCACTAAAAACGGGCCGAGCACGCTTAAAGCGAGCTCCGCGCTGTAGTGGAAATGCGCCATTAGACACCCCGGGCCAGCATAAAGTACTTTCCACTTGCCCGTTCAGGCCACTAAAAATATTGCTTTTTTT